AAAAAAAAAAATTGAATTCATTTCTCACACTGTACACAAGGATAAAGTCTGAATGGATTAAAGACCCAATTGTAAAAATGAAACCCTCTAAATAACTAGAAGAAAATATAGGTGAATTCCTGTATAATCTGAGATTGGGAAAAACTTTCCTAGGACTGAAAATCCAGAAGCAATAAAAAAAAAGTTTTTATGTTTAACCAAAGAGAAGAATTTTCGATGGCCTAAAAAAGCAAAGTTAAAAGATAAATAAGAACCTGGCAAAAATATTTGTGACATTTATCACAAAGGGCTAATTATAGCCTTAATATATGAAGAATTTCTTAACTGTGAGAAGAACCTGAAAGAAGAATGAGCAAAAAGATATGAATAGACAGTACAGAAAATAAAATGCAAATAGCCCTCAAACATTTGAGGATATGCATAACAAGAAAAACACAAATTCAAACTACCGAGACACCATTCCTTACCTGTTGGATTAAGGAAAATCCAAGTTTGACAATGCATTCTGTTGATGAGACAGTGGGGGAATAGGCACTCTGAAAAGTAGAATTCCCTTTGCATGGAATTTGTTAATAACTAGCAAAATTAAACGTGTTTCCTCTTAAACCTGGCAGTCCCACTTCCAAAAACCCATATGAGATGCACTGGCAAAAATATGAAATGCTGGACTGTGCAGTTAGCTTAGCTGGTTAGAGCATGATAGTGATAACACCAAGGTCCAGGGTTCGATCCCTGTTCTGGCCAGCCGCTTGCCCCCCCCCAAAAAAAAAATGGAATATGAAATGCTAATTTGCACAAAGATCCTCATTAGACCACTATAACAAAGACTGGAAGCCACCCAAATCCCTATTGACAAGGGATCGGTGGAAAAAACCATGGTACATCCACACAATAAAATACTGCATAACTGTAAAAAGGAATGAAGCCTGGGCCGAGCCCGTGGCGCACTCGGGAGAGTGCGGCGCTGGGAGCGCAGTAGCGCTCCCGCCGTGGGTTCGGATCCTATATAGGGATGGCCGGTGTGCTCACTGTCTGAGCGCGGTGCGGCCAGTCTCAAAAAGGACAAAAAAAAAAGGAATGAAGCCTATTTTTATATGCTGTTCTGGAGTTATCTCTAGAATCTAGGAAGTGAAAAATGTAAAGTGCAGAACAGGATGTATGGTTGCTACCTGTTGTATAAGAAAGGAAGAGACAAATGGAAATGTATGTATATATGTTTGTATTTGCTTCTATTTTTTTTTAAAAAAAAGCAATGGAAGGATTAGTTATCCCAATAACTAATAAAATGATTCCCTTGGTAGTAGGGGTAGGGAGCTGGACAAGGATGGCAGCTACATCTGTATCTTGTATACTTTTTACTTTGGGACTCTGTCAGTGTTTTGTATAATTAATTTTTTTTTCTTCTTAAAAACAACTCTTTAAAACTTAACTGTCTATCAAGTTGGTGGTATAGCCACACACAGTAGAATTACCTCAAAAGACTTTGTAGCTCAGCATTTTGTCTTCACTTTCCTAATGAAACATCCTACAGATCAAAGAACCACAAAGAAATCTTAAACTGCATTCTGTAGTTTTATTTTTAGCAATGATATTGGTGTTGTCATTTTGAAACAGTGTGTGTGGGTATTTATATACGATAAAGGAAATATTTTGTCAGTGGAATGAAGAGCCAAGATTTTCAACAGAAAAGAGATAAAAGAATACAATCAAGTAAAAACTCTAATTTTATATTTGAATTGGAAATATCAGTAAAATCCTGTAATTTATTTTTCTCTTTCTGAGAAATACCTGTTGCATAGATTTGTCCACTGAAAAGGCCTTGGAGCAATCACAACCCAGTAGTAAGGCCCACCATAGCACCCAGACTGTCACACTAAAAGGGGCAAGGAAAGGATGAGATGAGTCTGGAGTATCTTGTGTCAGAAAGCAAGGAAGGAATCAGAGTAAGGTCATGTCAAAAGGACCCAGGAGCCAACTTGAAGGGACTCCCATTGGCCAAAGATGGGACAATTTGAGCATCAGGAAGAATAATGGGTTGAAACATAGTACTATAAAAAAACCTAATCGGTCACCTTTGGAGGTTACTAGAACACCAATTCAATATTTTGAAAATGCTGACAGGAAAAATGAAGCAGTTACCCTGACTTTGTGTATTAGGTTAACCTGATAAGGGAAAGTTCTTCATGTAAGAATCAAAGCTGAATACCAGAGGAATGATAGTTAGGAAATCACCATTTTGCCACCTCTACTGAAATAATGGATCAAGGTTGCTAGAAGTGTGAGGTGAAAAGTTAATGGGAAACATTTTATTGGATGGCTTAGGTTGATGACATCTGAACCCAGTGATCAATCTTAGCATTACCGAAAAAGGATCAACTGTCTGTTACCCAAAACATACAAAATTGAACCTGAATCTAATCAAGCCTCTACATCTAAGGATAAGTTTGTATATACACAGGAGATTAAGGAACACAATAAACCATGCTAAATACAGAATGTGTGAAATTCCGTAGGACAAATAATCCATCTTCAACAAATGAAGATGTAAAATAAAACTGGTAGTGAGACTTAAAGATTAGAGAGACTTAACCTTGTTTGAATCCTCATTTGAACAAAACTAACTTAAAAAGACATTTTTGAAACAGAAAAGTTTGAGATGAATGGTATCAGGTGATATTAAGGAATTATTAATTTTGTTGGGTGAAATAATGGTATCATGACTTTTCTAAAGCTCTTACGTGTTAGAGATACACACTAAAGTATTTGTGGTTGAAATTATAACTGGGATTACCTGAAAATACTCCAGGAAAAAAAAATGCATTGGGCAGTAAATAAAATGAGCAAAATGTTATGTTGATGCTGGGTGATAAACGCATAGGGGTTTATTTAGGGTTTATTCTGTTTCCTCTATTTTTATGCATGTTTAAACATTTCCATAATAGGAATTTAAAGAATAAAAGATAACAGGAAGAAAAAGATTGGAGAATGCTGGTATAGACAACTTTCTTTTCGGCATAAAGAAAGCAGAAAGTGGGTAATAGTTGGAGAAGGAACCTTACAAATAACCCAGTAGAAACAGGGGGAAAGTGTGATGCAGGAGAACAAGGTTAAGGGCAGATAGGAACTGTAAGATACTATTGGTGGGACTGTAATAGGTACANTGTCAGAAAGCAAGGAAGGAATCAGAGTAAGGTCATGTCAAAAGGACCCAGGAGCCAACTTGAAGGGACTCCCATTGGCCAAAGATGGGACAATTTGAGCATCAGGAAGAATAATGGGTTGAAACATAGTACTATAAAAAAACCTAATCGGTCACCTTTGGAGGTTACTAGAACACCAATTCAATATTTTGAAAAT